TAGCAGCCACATGTGTGGCAGGGGACAGCCGCCGGCAGAGGTCTGCTCCTGTGTACTGGTTAATTTGTTACCCATTCACATCCCTAATATCAATAAATATTTTAAATAACATTTACAAATAGGATTGTTTCTGTAAAATATGTGGCATCCACATGCTAGCTTGGTGTGGTATAAATATTTTAACAAAACTGTCTGGGAAAGACCTGTATAATTCACTTACAATTAGAGTTTAGTTAATTTTTTTAAACAAAAAGTGGTTTTTAAAAAAAATGAAAATATTTTTCTTCAAAACTTCTGTTTCAGTTTATCTGTTTCAATTTCAGGATTTGGACATTTAAAAAAAATTGGTATTGCCAATTTTAATTAGCCAGCCTAGTCACATGGTAAAATTTTTCAGAACTGAAACAATTAGATACAATTTTTTATTTTGAAATAAAAAATCTTTTTTGAACATTCAGATTTTTTAAAAATAGAAAAATTCAATAAAAATCCACAGGAAATTTTGAAAAAGGAAAACCAAATCCAACTTGAAATCTAGTAAAATGAAGCAGTCTTTGGAAATGAAAAAATAAAAGAGCAACCAACTTTACTTATGAATTCATCCATGCCAAATGCATGATGAGAACATCTTTTTACCAAACTGCATTTTTGCATTCACTCTCTGAACATGTCACTAATTTCAGGCAGTAATTGTTACAGCTAAAATTGAAATGCATTTTCTGTCCTAACCCTCCCCTTTATACAGTTGCTTCTGACTTTCTCAGAAAATCTACTGAAATTTTCTATGCTTGTTATTGTCCCAAAGCTATGTTAAGGATGGCTCCATACTAAGGATGTTAAATTTCGATTAATCAAGTAATAGTCGATAAGAGGGGGGGTGGAGTCCTGGCTATCCCAGTTGTACCCCTGCCTTTTAAATGTAGTAAGAGCTGCCTGCACTCTTACTATATTTCAAAGGCAAAGGTGCAGTGGGAAACCCAAGGCAAGCAGGGATGCAAGCATTTCCCGTTCGTGCTGTGTCCCCTATGTGCCTCTGCCTTCTCTGCTCCCACCCACTCACAGAGACACTTCTGGGGGGAACTGGCTTTTAAGCTCCTTCTCCTCCCCCTTGCTGCCTCTGATACAGAAGCAACAAAGGGTAGGAAGCGATTAGTCGAGTAGCGACTCGACTACCCGATAAGCATAGGCTTATCAGGTAGTTGATTACTCACTTACATCCCTACTCTGTACAGCTGACACTGATACAAGTGTGTGATGCTTATACAGTAAGCTCGGTGAGCCTTTAGCAAACTATCTTGGATTCCTGAGTTTGTATATTTCACTGGCAAAGCTTATATGCACTCTGCATACTTAAATATAATTGATAAATAATATTGATAGATCTGAGTAATAGAGTCTTAAAAGGGATGACAATATGTGGGTTTGCTTGTTGGACAATAGCGCATGGGGTTCCTTATCTGTGGCAGTAATATGAATATAAAATGTATGCGTATAAGGTGAATACATACATGTATGCAAAGTATGTATTTGCATTATGGAAGTGCCACCTGCAGTTCCACAGTCAAGGGTGGGACCTAACTTCATTAGCATATAGCCACCACACTGATTACATCACTCATGTGCATCTACACTTTACTGCTTGTATCAGTGATGTCCGTCCTCACCAGGAGCACTTGTGCTGATTGTACTGTCAATGTGGGGTATGGTGGGATATCTTCTGAAAGCCAGAAAGAGTTGATGTAAATAATACTAGAGCATTTATCTTTAAGTTTAGAAGTAAGCTCTGTGATGCAGAGTACAGTAGATATGAATTCATCCAGGCAATGATACACAAGCCAGTTTATTACACTACTTTGCTTTTCAGGTTTCCACAGTCATTATTTGTTCTCTCTCCACCTGGAAACAGTCAGATTATAGGAAGAGACGAAGGTCCCATAGCATTTTGAATTTAAAATACACAGCTAATGGTCTCTATCATTTGTGATATCCAGAGAGAGTAAACATTTGCAGAAGGCTTCATTTCAGCTTGAATGAGCATTTTGGACAGGATAAGAAAGATTTATTAAACCACCTCTTTTTCACAAACTCACAGCAATATGGAATCCAGGCGGGATTTCAAATTGTACTGCTGTTTGAGTGAAACATTCACATAACTCTTCCTAACTATCTTTATGAGAATCATGATGATGGGGATTAAAGATGGACGAACTATTATAAGTTTGAAAAAAAGTAGCTTTTTTGTTCATAAATTAACCATTTGATTTTTTGTAATGAATTCGTTCATTATCCAAAGTTATTTGATTCATATTTTATTTAATCATACTCTGAATTTTTTGCAAACTGTTTGGTTCAGTTATGTCTTCGATTATTTGCTAATCCTTATTCTTGGTTTGTGAGTGATTACCCAACCCTCACAGCATTATGTCTGCTCCTTGATTGGATGATTTGATTCTTTTATCCATAAGTGGAGAAACAGCTGAGATTCCAAGATGACCATGTAACCAGCTGTTTCGAAAGTGAAAGTGCACGCCGGTACGCATTAGTTCAAACCAAACCAAACTCCTATGATTTGAGAAGTAACGTTAGTTTGAACCAAGGGGCTTGGTTTGAACTAATGTGTCCCAGTGCACACTTTCACTTTTGAAACAGCTGGCATTTGGAGTAACGTGCCGGCGAGTTCATGCTAATGAAGCATGGGATATTTAAATCCCCGCTTCATTGACTATTTCGAATGCCTGTATTTGCATCCCTAGTTCGAACTAGGGTGCAAGTGTAGACATACCCTAATACAGTGTTTCTCAAACTGTGCTCTGCGGAGCCCCTGGGCTCCACAAGACATCTCCAGGGGCTTCACGAGGTTGACAAACTGGAAACGTTGATAGGTACAACACATACAATCAGTGGACCGCTGGGGCTACGCGTAAATATTTATGCATGTAAAGGGCTCCGGAGCCCAAAAGCAGTTTGAGAACCGCTGCCCTGATAGATAGATCGATCGATCGATCGATAGATCGATCTATATCTATCTATCTATCTATCTATCTCATGATTTTTTCCTCTATTATATGATTTGTAAACTCTTTGGATTAGCAATATTAACATGACTACAGTAAGGCTAGAACTTACACTTTTTTCTTCTGATGCCCAAAGTCTTATTCATACTTTTCTGCATAAAAATTAAAGAGGGATGCACTCCTTGATGTATAGCTATTGATGATAATAATTCCTCACATACTAAAATGTTTGTTTCAGCCCGCCATAGATTTCAGGTAATTTAGCCAGCAGAAGGAGCCAGTACAAACTCTGTATCACAAAACATATCAATTTCCAACAAATTCTAATAAAAAAATTGTCTTGGAAAGTTCAAAGTATTTTTTCTTAAATACATCAAGCTTTGTATAATTTTGATGGGGACCACACATGAGGACGTAGGAATTGTTCCTCCAGTTCAATATCCTAGCTCCATTGGTAGTCAATGTCCAATTGACCAGAGGATGTAAAAGTACCACAAAGCACACTGATTGAAGACTATAGATAAGGAGGGAAAATTAGGAATAAGTATCCATTGAAATGTATTGAAGCAGATGGTGAATATGTTGCTATGGAGAATTTTAAAACTTGCTAAAAATAGGGATTATTTCTCCAAAACAGAGATATTTGACATCTATGTATTCTAATTGTGCAGTTCTTTTTAATTGTGGGAGAATTACTTCCTCACCCTGCAGCTGATGGTTTGTATACCCTGATTCATGAAAAGTCTTATCCTAGGTAGGGATGTAATAGTATAGTCAATTAACTGATTAGCCAGTAAGCAAAAGGTTATAGGTTAATGCTATAAACTACACGCGTTTGCCTGCCTCCTTGCCAGTACATTTTTTTAGCAGGCTGGCCAGCAGCATGGCTCAATCCTGTTTGTGTTGGGTCTGGGACTTACCACTGATGTGGCTCTGCATTTAAAGTGTATTAGGAGCCAGGCAGGCAGCCCGGCTCAGTTCAGGCTCACACTGGGTCCAGAAGCTCAGACCCCCCCAGACAAGGGCTGCTGCCCAGGGCAACAGGCAAGGGGAGCTGGTTTTTACCACCCCCGAGGACAATAGACTAGTCAAGTAACCTATAAGAATTCATGAAGTTAATCAACTGTTCAATTAACCGATATTTAACACCCCTAATCCTAGGTATATAACTACAGATGCTATTCTTATTTACAGAAAAGTCTATTTTTTAAATATCATACTAAGATGTTCATTGTAATTATATCCTCTGGCTATATGAATAATATATAATATAAAAAGTCATTTATTTGTATCTGTTTTAAATGTGTTGTCTCCTAATTTAGCGAAGCACCCCTCTGTTTTTATTTCATAGATTGGGTTAGATGAGAACATCCCATCAGCCTTCCCTGTACAATTATACAGGCAGTCCCCGACTTACGCGGATCCGACTTATGTCGGATCCGCACT